ATTTGACTATCATGGGCTTAGAACCCTTAAATGGGCTCTAATTGGACCCACATCTATTTATTTCAACATTTTGGGCTATATTGGGCCTAGAATGAAATAAATTCAAAATTTGGAACCATGATTAACCTAAACTAGCCCAACAAAGTGTAAAAATCATATTATATATATTTTTTAGGTTAAAACTCATCCAACTTAATATACACATGGGCTTGTGGGCATTAAAGCCCAAATTTTCCCTTTTCCCTCCAAATTCTCGGCCCAAGGCCCAAGCCCAAGAAGAAATGAAGAGAGTTGACTTGTAATTGACACCTCATTATTGTCTTTTGGATCTCCATGCAACCCATTCCATGTATCCATGCATATCACTTCATGTCTATTTCTCCCTCTCTCTTCTTGTTTCGGCCGTGAGCAACACACACACACACAAATCTCTCACAAACTCTCTCTAGATCACTCAAGACTTCTCTCTTCCTCTCCATCTAAAATCTCGAAATTGGCTTGTGTTTCAAGAGGATTCTTCAAGATTATCATCATCCTTTGGTAAGTTTTTCCATGTCTAAGCTTCAAAACTTCCCCCTCACATGAGATCTCTTATTCTAAACAAGTTTCTTTGGTGATCATACTCCTAGAAAACTCCATAAACTCGAGATCTTCATCAAGGGGTGCTAGGGCCGAAAAATCACTTCATTTCTTCCATCCTTTCTTCAAAAAACCGAATCAACACCCAAGGTGAGCTTCATACCCCCTTATTTTCGGTTTTTATAAGTTTTTGTGGGGGAGAATACAAGCAAAGGTGTAGATCCATCACTATGTGTATGTTTTGGTTGATTTCTATGCTTATATGTATGTTTTGTATGATTTTGATGCTAGATCTAGTTATGAATTGCTAAAAACCGAGATATATCTTATACTAGCATAAAATATACTACTACATGCAAAGTATACCAAGAAAAATAGCCAAATGGCTTGACAACACTTATCTTGGGCTAAAAACACATTTTTTTTGACACAAAATGCTAAAAATACAAAGTTGAAGGGCCAAAAATGAAATATTACGAAATCTGATGGGTGAGATGAGTCAAAACAGTTTCCATAATGTATTTTCTGAAAATATACTATTTGGAGGATTAAAAGCATAAATTTCAAGCTTAATGGGCTAAAAATGACAATTTCGGCCCAATAGGGCCCATTATGCAATTTTCTGTTTTGGAGGGCCAAAACTGTGTTTTCTGTAAAACAATGGACCATTAGTGTCACAAGTACTTTTCAAAGGTTTAAAATGCTTTTCAAATTTAAAAAGGACCAAAGTTGCAAAAAATTTTCCAATTTGGGCCAAAAATGTAAAAATTGCGAAAAAGAGGGGTTACAACCGAGAAAACTGCAATTTCAGGGACTTAAACTGTTTTCAATGAAAAATATGCTGAAAAATATTAGTTTCAATAATTTTTGGTGTTAAAATGTCAAGAAAAATGGTTTAAGGACTAAACCGGAAATTTTTTTCTAAAGGGGTGAAAAAGGTAAATTTACAAAATAAAGAGGGGTTGTAAACAGAAAATTTTCAATGGTAATTCAATACACTCGTTGTGAACAAAGATTGATACTACGACTCTCGATGAATTACAATACACAATATCACCAACAATCGTTACCAAACGAATTGGTTCGGTCTCGAATCAATAACAAATCCAAAACTACTAACACTATAACGCTCAATACACATATGAAACTCTTGGAACTCTTTACTCTCGTGGAATTACTCAATACGTCGACGTACACTCCTTAGGCCCAAAAGTTGCAAATCATGCTTGTCGAGCCTAGCTAGCCCGATGACATGATCTTTAGGCCCAAAGGACACTTGCTTACATGTAGTTGGGTCTAATACGACTCGACCGCGTGTAAAAGGACTTTCAATGGCAAACATGCTGCTGGTCCCCAAGGGTCCTTCAGTGCTGCTAGTAAAGTCGGGAACTCACGATTGCGGGTTGGGCTTCGGGCCCTTCGCAATTGCAATGGTCTTGAACGACGCAGGGAAATACCGAGGGTTTCGCACCTTCTCTTTTTCCCTCCGGTCGTGGGACTACACAAGTCCGGGAGGATTGAGTTGTGTGAATAAGTGCAAGCGACGCCCAAGGGATCGCTGGTACGGTTGTCGACTGTACGTTTCATTAACGGACGTTACAACAATTCACCACCCACTGTATACTCAATGCCTCCGGAGCTCAACGAATACCTCTAACGTAACGAAATAACAGTACACAAACTAAGTAAAGCAAAGTGATAGGAAAACGTCGGGTTTTCCTAGGGTTTTCAACAAGTACACTTATGAACTACATGTCGAATTTCACAACTCTTACGCTTACATCTATAGAATTCAAACAAGCATACTCACGGATCTTAACATATTTTTACGCTATTCTATTTTCAGAAAATATCGGATTTTCTGGTGGTTTTTTTTATAACATTACAAACATCGGATTTCAAACGTTACTTATGAACTCACCAACATTTCACATGTTGACGTTTTTCAAAATACTTGTATTCTCAGGTAACAGATAAGTGAAGAAAGGACGGTATTCTATGATTGTTTTGCGGTTGTTTAAGTAACAATGAACCATGTATTTTGGAATGTAATATTTTGAAACGATGTAATGGATGTGAACGCTACCAGTTGTATCATTCCAATGCTTGGTGATGTATAATGTTATGTTTCATGTATATTCATTGTGATGGTATTCAATTGAGTCACAACAGCCCCGGACGTTTCCGCCGTCTGGTTCGGGGGTGTGACAATTGATGTGTTCAATCGGTATCTGATATCAGTCGTCATAAATCGGAATAAGGAAACAAATCTTGGACATAAATATTGATTATAAGTTATGTCTCATGTCCATACGATATCTTGTAGAACGGAGAAATATTTGATCACTTATCTTAGTACGCGTCACTGACTGGGTCAAAGTTCGACAACGACTTTTGGTAGCTACAATTTGCTAATTAATTTAGTAGTTATATTGGCAGTTATAGTTATTAGACTTATCCAAGTGGGAGACTATTGAATTAGGTATCTAAGCCCATAACTATAATTGGTATATACTTGAATTGATAGTAGCACAATCCTTTTGGGTTGCCTTCAAACTTGACAATTCAATAGGATGACTTTAAGAGAGAGAAAAATGATTTATTAATTTATTACATGGTTAATAAATTAATTAGAAATCAAAATAAATGATTTATTAATGTATTATGGATATAATATATTAATTAGAAATTATATTGTTTAATTAATATTTAATCAAAAATTAATTTTGGGGTTAAAAGAATTAATTAAAAATGCATGGACTAAAGGTGACAATGTTCAATAGTTGAACATTGAGCAATTTAAAGAAATCTAGGGTTTCCTTGGGCTCTAAGGGTGCCTTGGATGCCTTAAGGGGGAAGTTAAGGGATTAGGGTTATCTTGGAGATACCTGTCTAATCCAATACCTTCTTAACTCCTATATAAACCCTCTTTAGGGTAGAATTTCGGCCATGACCTCTTTCTAAGTGCCTTGGACAAAATTAAGGCTTCTACTCTCTTTTTTTTTTCTCTCTCTCTCTCTCTATATATATATATATATATATATATATATATATATATATATATATATATATATATATATATATATATAGTTTGCCTTGGTTGCTAGATTTGTTTGTGAGTCATTAGAGACACGACACTTGTGACGCTTGCTATGAAAGGTTTTCAATGAGGACTTTAAGATTGTTTACTACAATAATCTTAAAGGTTAGTTTTTCCTGTTCTTACAGCTAATTCGATCATATAACAGTTTTATAACCTAGGGTTCATAGTATGTTGCTTTACTTGAAAGACATAGATCCAACTAGGTTACATTTGCCATTATTTATTTGAACTCTTTGAATAATTTTCCACTTAGTGCATTATGTTGTAACCTCAAAAACCCATCACATAAGTGTACGCTCATCGTACCCTCATGTACGCTTAGCGTACTCATCCTGTTCAATTTACGAAATTGCCACAAGGCTTCAAGACTCATTCTCATAGACTTAGGGACTAAAATGTCATATGATAAAATCTTAGGGAAGAATTCAGAAGTACCTGAATCTCAAGATATTACAGTTTTTTAGTGGCGAAGGTGGTGATGCTTTACTCCGATGGTAGATGTGGTGGTTTTCCAATTGGTTTAGAAGGAGTGGGTGGTACCCAACGATAATGGTTTATGTAAGTGAGATAGAGGACACATGATGAATATGGTGGGTGGGCCTGCCTTTTAATTTTAATTTTTTAATAATTTAAGCATTATAACAATTAAAAAATGGAAAAAAGAAATCATAAGGGCATAAAAGTCATTTTAAATCCATAAGGACCAAATTCACTAAAAAGATCTCAAATTGGACCACTTATTCATCACTAAACTTTTTTGGATTAAAACCACATATTTTTGATAACTACAATGACTATTTTTGCAATTTTGTCTAGTTTATATAAGTGGTGCATGGGTGAGGTAATGATCGTGTCAGTATATGGTATATTATTATTTAGAAGTGCATGCTTATTAGGCCATGTTTATATATTTATTTTTTTTAAGGTGTTCGCCCTTACTCCTAATTTCATGGGATTTGACTAAACATTATTTAGATCGTTGATACTGTTCCTTGTGATATGAGCTTCTATTTGGACAATCGCCTTCAACATTGGTTGTTCAGGCTTTTCCATCTAGCTCTAGGTGGTCGGTAAAAACGATTCTTCAAGAGAAACGTAATTTTGAATATTTTTAACATCTCCACTGATTGGATGAAGAGTAGTGACCTCCGTTTTGATATGACCATACCACGAAGAGAAAAAATACGTGAAAAAATATATTGTGAAGCTGCCATATAAGTTTTATGGTTAGTAAATCAAAAGGTTAGAATCCAAAATTATGATTTTTTTTTCCGCCAACTAAAATATAAGTTGTTAAATTAATTGGGCTAAAAAGTTTGATGTCATTATTCTGGACTGTCCTTTGGGCAAAGAAAGCATAATAGTTGGGCCTTGTGAATGAAATTCAAGAGAAGGCCAGCGATATGCTAATACCCTAAAACTCTAAAACCCTTTTCCTATCAGTATCCTTCAATTCTACCTGCGCAGGTGGGAATTAAGCCAAAAATACAGGTGATTTGCCAAAGGAGAGCTCAAGCGAGCTGCTACAATGGTGAAAATCTCAAGACCTACGAGTAACAATGACAGTGCCGCTAAGAAGAAGAAGAATAAGAAGAAAATCAATCCTAATGCCATAGCCATGAAAGTCAAAGCTCCAGTAGCAAAACCTAACCCTTTTGAAACCATCTGGTCTCGTCGCAAATTTGATATCCTCGGCAAGAAACGCAAAGGAGAAGAACGCCGTATTGGCCTCGCTCGCTCCATCGCTATCGAAAAGGCAATAATCTCTCCCTCTCTATAGACGCATAAACACGTTGCAGATTTTTTGTTGTTTCCATTTATGAATGGTCCATTCTTAAAATTAAGTTGCTCATATCGAGTTGAAATTTGAAAAATACTTGGGCATAGTACTTTCAGAAATCAAAAATGGATTCTAATTTGAGATACTATCTTCGAAAGTGCAGAGAAAGAAAACATTGCTGAAGGATTACGAGCGGAGTGGTAAGTCATCGGTGTTTGTTGATAAGCGGATTGGGGAGCAAAATGAGGAGCTTGGTGAGTTTGATAAGGCTATCCTCAGATCTCAACGAGAAATGCGGGTAATTGTTTTCAAGTGAAATTTCTTGTTTATTGATGAATTTCTCAGTATTGATCGATTATGTTTTTGCCATCTTTCTTACAGGTGAAGCTTAGCAAGAAAAGCAAGTATAATCTATCTGATGGAGAAGAAGATGAGTTTGAGATTCAAGATGACAGATTGTATCCTGAAAGAGACGATTTTGAGGATGAAGTACCATTTGATGAGGAAGATGGAGATGCAACAGAGGCTGAGAGTAAGTTTGCCTTTGTTTACTTAAAATCAATTAGCAGTTTGTAACTATATGTTCACTTTTTAGGATAAAACAACAATGAATTCACAAGACAAGATATAAATTCACTGATTTAAAGTGATGAAACTTCATAACTTAGGTTGGGACATCATATTTTTGTAGGGAAACATAAACAATGAATTAGATTGAATACAAAAGATTATCACTGTATGAAAGTCTGAAACCTTCTTCTAATCTTTTGATTAGTTTAAAACATAATTCTTTCTTTCTTTTTCTGTTTCTACAGAAAGGTCTCTCATATTAAAGCAGCTTAGTGCCAATGGCACCCCTAGTGCTCATGGAACTGGAGTTGAAGGAGAAGAAAATGTAAAGCTTTAAACATAATTTTATCGATATTTTATACTTCTTTTAATTTTTTTGGTTAATCAAGTGTCTTTGTTATTACAGAGGCAAAAGACTAAAAAGGAGGTTTATGATGAGATAATATCAAAGAGCAAATTCTTCAAGGTGGGTGATTATATAACTTCATCATGTTTTTTTTAGTCCATTTTATGATAGCTTGTACTAATTTATATGTTCATAACATGGTTTTTAACTTTTTATTCTTCTATTACAGGCAGAGAAAGCTAAGGATAAGGAAGAAAATGACCAATTAATCAAAAAATTGGATGAACAATTTACATCTTTGTCCTCCAAATCCATATCTAACCAAATGAATGTTGTGAATGATGTTACAAGCAAAAACATTATGAATATGAATTCTAGTAAAGTTGAAACTGATCAGGTATGTTTTTTTGTTCTTCTGTATTTTTTAGGCTTAGGTTTATTAATTTGAAATTAATTGATGATTTTCAGGGGCAAGATGATGATTATGATAAACTACTTAATGTCATGGTGCTGGATATGCGGGCCGCCCATCAAATAGGACAAAAACTCCTGAAGAAATTGCACAAGAAGAAAAAGAAAGACTAGAAGAATTAGAGGTATTTTTATATATATATTTTTTTTTCTGGACTTTTGTTATATCTTAGTTTAACATTTATGATTTCAGAAAGAAAGACAAAAAAGGATGAATGCTGTTGATGACACAAGTGATGATGATGATGATGATGATCATGAAAAGTCAACTGCCAAGAAGCTGACCTCTATTTCTGGTGATGATCTTGGAGATTCGTTTGCTGATGATGAACCGAAAACTAAGCTGGAATGGATCCAACAGATGTTAAGAAAAGAAAATGAAATCGATGATGATGATGATGAGGATGATGATGATGATGATGATGAAGAAGGGAGAAGATGTTGATGATGATGATGATGATGATGATGATGATGATGATGATGATGATGATGGAGAGGGGGATGATCTGGCAAGTGAAATGCCACAATCATTAAAAGACTGGGAACAAAGTGATGATGATGATGAGGATGAGGATGAGGATGATAATGATGATGTGAAGTTGAATGTAAAAGTAAAACCAAAGGTGTCAAAAGTCAAACCTTCCAGAACATTACAAGTTGACCTTCCATACACAATCGAAGCTCCAAAAACCATGGAAGAATTGTCATCATTGTTGGATAATCGATCCGATGATGACATCATCGAAGCAATTAGACGAATTCGTGCATTTAATGCAATCAAAGTGGCTGCAGAAAATCGAAAAAAAATCCAAGTACAATTTATTTGTTTTTATTCATTACTTTCATAAAAATGTTTTCTAACTCCACCTTTTTTTTTCCTTTACCTTTTCAGGTATTTTATGGCCTCCTACTGCAGTATTTTTCAGTTTCAGCAAATAAAAAGCCATTAAATTTTAAATTATTAAATTTACTTGTGAAGCCATTAATGGAAATGAGCATAGAAATCCCATACTTTGCTGCTATATGTGCTCGTCAAAGACTACTTAGAACTCGATCACTTTTTGCAGAAGATATAAAAAATTCAGGTTTTTATTTTATTAATTTATACCAAAACTTTCAAGAAATATAACATTATTTTTACTTTTTGTAGAAAAAAGCAGTTGGCCTTCAATAAAAACATTATTCCTCTTGAGGCTATGGTCTATGATATTTCCTTGCTCAGATTTTCGGCATGTTGTTATGACTCCTGCAATATTGTTAATGTGTGAATATTTGACACGTTGTCCTATTCTTACTGGACGTGACGTGGCAATTGGCTCCTTTTTGTGTTCTATGCTTCTTTTTGTAAGTTCATTTCCACCCCCCGTACTTTTTTGTTGCTGTTAATTTGGGTAAAGAATAAAGTGTATTGCTGATATTGGTAAAAAGACTAAAATGCCCCTGCTGATTTTGTAGGTCTGTAAGCAGTCAAAAAAGTTGTGCCCTGAAGCTTTAGTGTTTCTTCGGACTTTATTAATGGCAGCTTTAGACAAAAAGCCTGAACAATCTCAAGACTCTGAGGTCTGTTTCAAGTTTCAACTGCCATATTTATACTTTATGAAAAACAATTAAAAATATATTATATATATATATATATATATATATATATATATAATATATTTTTATGACTCACCTTTTTTTTTTTATTATTCTTTCAGTTTTATCACTTAATGGAATTAAAATCACCAAAGCCTCTGCTATCCATAAATGGCACTGTAGATGAAATAAAACCTCTCGATTTCATTACTTTAATCAACTCACCAGATGACTCCCCTTATTTCACCTCAAATAATTTCAGGTATCTTACATTTTTGGTCCCTGAGTTTAGCTGATTTTTTCAGTTTTGGTCCTTATTTAATGTTTCTATTATATGCAGGGCGAGTATGCTAGTGGCAGTAATAGATAACATACAAGGATACACAAACATTTACCAAGAATTCAAATCATTCCCGGAAATATTCCTACCAATTTCCAAATTACTAAAAGAAGTATCATCATCCCATGGTCAACATGGTCAAAGCGATGACGTGGCATTATTATTATTAAAGAGAAAATAAAATCAACTGTGGATGCAATAGAGACGAAAGCAAACGAACATTACGTGTCGCGTCGACCTTTACAAATGCGGAAACAAAAACCGGTTCCTATTAAATTACTCAATCCAAAGTTTGAAGAAAAGTAAGTTCTTTTTTTTTTTTGACTTTTTGATTTGTTTTTTGGTGTTTACTAAAAATAAAATTGTTTTTTTGTTTTTGTAGTTTTGTGAGTAATAGGGATTATGATCCGGATAGACAAAGGGCTGAAGATAGGAAGCTGAAGAAGCTTGTGAAGAGGGAAGCAAAAGGGCTGCACGTGAGTTGAGAAAAGATAATTACTTTTTGGCTGAAGTGAAGGCAAGAGATATGGCACGTGTGGAGGAAGAAAGGGCTAAGGAGTATGGAAGAACAAGAGCTTTTCTTCAAGAACAAGAACATGCTTTTAAATCGGGGCAACTTGGGAAGGGAAAGAAAAGAAGGAGGTGAAGTTTGGGTGTATTTTGAGAAATATGATGTGGCAAATATGTTACATGTGATGAATTTTTTGGTAGTTTTGATGTGGTAAAGATGTAATATGTGTATTCTTTTTGGGTAATGTGAGTTGAGCGTAGTTTTTTGTAGGCAAAAAAGGAAATGTTATATTGGCTACTCGTAATTTTTAACATGATTTTAAGTTACAAATTAATTGATTATTGTGCTTAGTTATGGATTACTTAGTGAGTACAGGCAATCGTATTTTATTAAAAGTTGACAAATTATTAATGGTCCTTTGATGCTAAATGAGATTATTACATAGCATAAGGAAAATAGGAAAAAAGTTGGTCTTCAAAGTTGGCTTATGATTTCTTCTTAAGTTGGGACCATTTGGATGAGGTATTATAATAAATGGGTTCTTGCAATAAGTAGCAATAGCTGGATTCGAGTGTGCCTCAACTCATCAATGGTGTCTATAGAGGAGTTGAAGCAACAAAAGGAGAATTTGCTGCCTTTCTAGTCAACAATAGAGGCATTCGTCCCCAGTCATAAAATAACAGCACCTAGCTCTAGCTCTGTCTATTCACAAGGACTTGATTCTATGCCCAAACATTGTATGTTTCTTAGATAACACATTTCCTTATAGAACCGAATAAAACTTTATAGTTATTTGGTTCTTTTGATTTTGGTTCTTTTGATAATGGTTTGTAAGTATCATTTTTTATATGGGTATGTTATGTTCTTTGGATAATGGTCTAACATCAATACTCGAGGTAATGAGTGTTTGGTTAAATTTTCAAAGGGATAATTACAAAATTGATCTTTGTAAAAATCAATTTATCTGCAAAGTTTCCACCCAATTCTAATGTTTTAATTGATTTATATTTTTTTTTCTAAAGAAGAGTCTCTCCTGATAAGGTGTTTTGGTAAGTTTACGTATACTACAACTAACTCTCCATATGAATATGAGGTTATACATAATGCGTTG